TTCATATTATGTATAGGCATATTACATTATGTATTTTAACAGTGTTGTTCAATAAAACCATGTAGTTACTTGGTTTTGATAATTTATTTGAGCCAATTATTATTGCCTCATCGTTAGTTTATATATAAATAGTCATACTAAAGCCTGGTGTTCACTTAGGTCTATTTGTGTTACAAAAAAATATCAGATTACTCAATTGTTAAAATAATCAGTAGATTACTTGATTACCAAAATAATCATTAGTTACTCTTGCCATTTTTTTCATTGTGACAGTAATTACATAATTACGCACTTTTCCCTATCTAAAAATGTCTGGATGCTTAAATTATTTATTTGTTTGTTTGTTTGTTTGTTTGTAATGCCTATTATTCTCTATGGCTATGCTAATTTGATTTGTATTATTTGACAATAATCAAAAAGTGTCATTTTAACTCTATTAACATAAAAAATAGTAATATAATTAACAGTTTTGGGGGTAACGCATTACAAGTAACGCGAGTTACGTAATCAGATTACTTTTTTCAAGTAACTAGTAAAGTAACGCATTACTTTTTAATTTACAAGAGAATATCTGAGTTACTTTTTCAAATAAGTAACGCAAGTTACTTTTTATTCCAATTTATTGATTGACAGCTCTCCTGTCCCCATGTTGAGAGAAATCAGAAGATATTACTGTAGTTCTAAAATAAATATGAATATACATTAATTCATCTCACTCACAAAAAAAAAAAAACACACAGATTCAGTATTCCTCAAAATGAATAAAAATAATGCAACTCAGAATATGACGCAAACCTGCAATAATTAAATGTTAAAAAACACAAATATCCTTTATGTATTTAATCCCATTCTATTAACCAATGTCTTTGCTTCTGACCTTCGATGATCCAGTTCAACCATACTAATAAGCAAAAATTACTCTAGACAAACATCTTTGTTTATTGCTGAAGTGTGTTGAAATGTCTTCTTCTGCATTCTACTGTACGGACGTAAATTTACTTTCCCTTCAGACTGAGGCTTATTCATTTCACTTTTGGTGTGAAAAGGCTTTTATATTTGCCAAAAATATAACGTTTTTATTTT